GATGCCCATATGGTAGTGTCATCAGCAAACAAGACCACTTTCACTAAATCAGAAACCTTACATATATCATTGATGTATAATATAAATAGTTTAGGTCCCAAAACAGAACCCTGAGGCACTCCACATACAATATCCAGCTCACTCGATTGGTATTCACCCAACTTCACAAATTGACGCCTCTGTGTCAAATAACTTCTAATCCATTTCAGAACCATTCTTCTGATCCCATATTTTTCTAACTTGTCCATTAATAATTCATGATTGATTGTGTCAAATGCTTTTTTTAGGTCAATAAATATCCCCATCGTGTATTTCTTCTCATCCATAGCACTTGTAATGTCCTCCATCAGGTCGGTAATGGCCAAAGATGTCGATCGGTTCGACCTAAAACCATATTGGCAATCAGAGAGGATTTTATGTTTGTCAATAAATGTATCTAATCTGTTATTAAATAGTTTTTCCAAGATTTTTGAAAACTGTGACAACAGAGAAACCGGTCTATAATTTGTGAAGTTGTGCTTATCACCAGATTTATACAGTGGAATAACCTTTGCTATTTTCATATTATTGGGGAACTGCCCAAGTCGAAACGACATGTTAAAAACATGGGTTAATGGTTTGCATATCCCCTCAATTACCCATTTAACAGTTGTCATAGTGATACCATCACTATCACTGGATGATTTATTACCACATTTGTTCACTATCTCTATAATTTCCTTTTCAACTATGGGCTTCAGAAACATAGAACACATATTCCTTTCAATTGTATTGTTATTTATAGTGACGGATGTATCATCTGTACAAATGCTTCTTGCTAAACCAGGACCAACATTCACAAAAAACCTATTAAACTTATCTACTACATCCTCCAATCTATTGACCGGTGTATCATTGTCCATGAAATATTGATACTATAGCCAGGTTTGGGTGTGAACGCCTACAGTAAAGATTAGGTGACTTTCCCATGCATGGAGCAAGCTGTGTAACTTGCACAGGCGTCTCTTGGCTGTGGAATGCCATTAGAGGTCCAGGGCCAAAGGTCATTAATTGTAAACAGTTTTGGTCAAACACCGAAAACCAGCCTGTAACCTGTTCTGAAGCTCCTTTTCTTTTCATCATTACATTTATTTTAATTTTTTTGTGTGTTTTTGTTGGTCATTTTGTCTATTTAGCTTTGAAAAGATGATGATCCTGTGTTGGCACTAAGTTTACATGTAGTGTTTACTGGGTTACAAAGATATTTTAGCCAGCATTATCACTCAGTTAACATTCTATATTATCAGCGCACCCATATACATATACACAGTTTTCATAGGTCTCCCCCCTCTCTGCCTCCCCGATTCCTGCCCACCTCTACGCAACGCCCTGTGCAGTAAGGAGTAAAAATTACCAAAAACTAGGCTATGTCATCTTTACCTATATGGTTATGTTGAGGATAGCATGCTAAAAAACAAAAGGTTTGGTAATGTGTAAAACCAGTGATAAAAACAGCCCCCCAGCAGTATACACAGTGACTGGAACTATTATTTTCATTAGTAGCAATTTATTTTCTTAATATGTTATAGATGATTTACCACATATGCCAAAACAACAGCAGCACACCGTTACATTTGAGAAACTGGAACCAGCAGACACACAAACATTTTTGCTTGAAAAGTGACTAAATGATTCTCAAAACAGTTGATTAATTTTATCTTAAGGAACCAGATGTTGGAGCTCTAAACCCTTCAAAATATATTTATCAAAGGGTCAATGTGAAATATAGATTGCAGTGGTCTAAATGGTACATTTATCATACAATTTTGCTTTTTCCTGGCAGTATAAATACCACTGGCACTGCACCATCTTTAGGTAAGGACTGAAAGTCTGAGACTGTGGAACAACTATACTTGAATTTTCTTCCTAAGGTGTCTGGGCTCACTCAGTCAAGCTTGAAGCAGAGCTGATAGAGGAGCACGGCTCAGACACCTGATTTAGATTCACTGTGGGGGCCTCCCTGTGGAAATATGCCATGCCTATCCAACTAAGAGGGAAGCCCTGAGTGGACCCAGGACATGCTGGTAGGGATTATATCCCATCTGGCCTGTGAAGGAGTAGGTATGGACCAAGAGGAGAAGGAAGAGAAAACTAGAAAAAGGATGCCTTGTTTAGCTTTGTACTACTCGAACCCAGATCAGGATAAATGTCAGAAAATGCAATGATGAATGACCTATCAGCATAAAAATAAAATCAAATAAAATAAACCTTTGGGAGCACCAGTCCACAATTATAGTGTATAATCCAACTGATTATTAAAAAAAAGCCATACGGTCAACCCACCTTTGACCCATTACATCAATTACAAACTTGCTGAAGATGGTGTTGCTCGGGGTGTGAGCAGGGGGAACAGTGATGTTGACTGACCCTTTGTGCAGCACATCATTTACACTGAGCAGTATAGAATAGCTGTGGGAAAACTCTGCCATAACAATGAAAGTCAGATAACTCCAAGCAACACTTTGATCTGTTCCTAGCTGATGTTCGACCATTCTATGACAGGCTGTGCTATGCGTATCCACTATGATGTGCACCACATGACAAAAGCCATAATCTTGACTCATTTTGAGAATGTGATGCCAAGTCATTTGTTGTGCTTTGTCCTGTTTTCCCAGCAACTTGCATTATGGCTAGTTCCTGTTAATCTATCATGATTTCTAATAACTGCACATTTCCTCACTTTGGTGGCATGCTGGGAGAATTTCCTTCCTACCTCCTTCTCCCTCACCTTCCCATTTCCTTTCTAAATCCTGGGGTTTGATCTAAAATGTACAGTGTGACTGTGTGGGTATGAGGGTTAAAATATGTTGCCGGTCATTTCCTGTTTGGAATGGACACCCTGCATTGTTATCCATCATGATCACATAGCTTCACAGTGGAACTCAAATTCACACCCAAATGACCCCAGTCTTACACACTGATGAAGATAATGCAAGCTTTATGTCTTACATCAAGTCATGCCTCCCTCAGCAAACTCATTCAAGTTGCCTTCTGGACTAGGAAAATGCCAGATATAGTCAGGAAGCAGCAAATGGCTTAGACTAACAGAGATATTTTTGCTGGGGACTACTGATGCTCTGAAATCTCGGAAACAACTCCCCTATGGCTGATGTCCAACATGCTGGGAGTCCAGTGAGAAGGAGGCCTACAGTACTGTAGCTGTTAGTGTGACAGGTGGCTGGATCCTTTGTATGGATGCTCTAAGTTCCCATTAGTTGGCAACAGGCCTACTTTATTTGCAGAGTCGTGGATATTTAACTGACCAAAACCAGGCTATTTAACAGCACAATAACAATAGCCTACTCATTAGAATAGCCTATTACTACTAATAATAATAGCCTAATAATAATCGCAACCGTAACAGTATTTTGTGCATTTGGTATGAGTTATCTTTTATACTGGATTATTTAAACGTCGTTCTTACCATCTAGATTTTCCCTGTCGCTGATGTGCTGGAGATTGCAGCACGTGTCCTCGCGGCTCAGCTCCGGCTCCTGCCGGTAGGGCTCTAGCCTGGAGTGGTTGTTCCTCCGGTGTTTAGGGCTCGACGACACGCAGCAGGAAGCTGTATTCCCCATAGTAAAAGAAGGTTTTGGCAATATCCCTCAGCCAACACTGTGACAATTATATTCAGCCGTTGTTAGCGTTACTATAAAGCTTCAGCGAAAAAACGGGGCGGTAACGCGGAGAGACGGACCTGGTGCAATCGTTAATCGTTAGCGTTACATGGCCTTTTCTGATAGAAACTGGCCCCGGTAATCGTTAGCGTTACATGGCCTTTTCTCGGGTCTAAAATACGCTTAGTTGGACGTGTGGTGTCATTTAAAATGACGATACACCGCCAAAGTATGCTAATAAATCAGAAGTAGCTCCCTCCGAACAGCCAGGCAAGGGCAGTGGCACTACATAACAGGGATCGGTTTCATTGTGGACTCCCTCGCCTTGAAATTCCCGTCCACGAGTCCAGCTCCCAAACACATTTTGAGATACGGTTGCTTTATGATCACATGAATGAGCATAAGGATATTACACTGTATTTATACAAAAGCTTTTCGCACTCGGTGCTACATGGTTGCCAACGTACTGTAGACTACTACTACATCCGCTGCCGTGTTACTTCAGGTGCTCTCCCTTAAAGTGGGATTATCCAGAACGAAGTTACAAAAATGAAATAACGCTGCACATTATTCCAAATAGTGATTTCTCAACCATGAAACCGGGAAGATTTTGAAACATAATTAAATTATGTAAAAACAAAGAAAATATTCCAAATTTTTTTGTTAATATGCCTCCATCGGAATTTGTTAAACCTTGAAAACAATTAGCATAAAAACATACAGTACTATCCATGTCTTTAAACCTTGTTCCTCACTCTAAGCCTGCTGCTCATTTTCAATTATTTTCATATTCGTATTCATCCACATTCCTTTTATGATATCCAACAAGAGAGTCGTACATGTATGCAGGTAGATATAACGACATTTACGACAGCACTTAAACATCTCTTCAAAAAACTAGACCCCTGAGGCTGTGATGTAAAAGATTCTAGTGTTGTATCGATATGTGTTCCCCTCGAGATGTGTTCCCCCTGTTAGAAACTGTTTACTATAGCGCCCCCTCTCGGTGGTGGCTACAACACCGTTTCATGTGGATCTTTACAGACGGACAGTTATGATTGTCAGCAGCGGGATACAATAAATCAAGAAAAATACAGAATAGAATAGAACAGGGAAAAATACTCTTAGGCCTACCTATATTTGTGTGTTCCATTATTTGATCTTGGCAGATTGATGAACGACTGATCCATAATGCTTACTCATACTAAATCTCTTTGAAGTTTTAAATCGGATTAGTAGAGGGCAATGTAAACAAAATGTATAGCATAACTCAAATGTTTCTTTACATTTGAGAGTGAATAATAATGTACAAGAATAGTTGGCCTTTTGTGTGGTTACAGACTTAAATGTTGAACTAAAAGACCAGACACAATATTGTAGCACTGCCTGCTGGCAGGCTACTGCAGCTGCATTACCTTTAATAATAAAGGGTACTCGCATTCTGTGATCTGAAATTTTTTTTCACATATCACAGGAATCTGTTTTATAATCCCAAAGTTTTGTTTTAAGATTTTTAAGAAGTAGCAGGCAATTGTTCTAAAATATGCAAAACACACACACAGACAAAAGGATGTGCTATATTGGTGAGTGTCCAGTAATTTTACATACAGGTAAACATCATTACAGTAATAAGTGACTTCACAACAGATGTGTTGTAGCTTAATTGCCATTGTCTATATCACAAATAATTCCTTGTGCTTTAATTGATGTATTATTGCAGTATAGTTAAATGCTGTGTGCATTCTTTGAGTACACATTTTTTTCTCTACCAGTGCATTCCACAAAATTTTGCCTCAATGTGGAAGTTGCATGTGTTTTGGAACAAATTGGACAGGAGTAAGGTTTTGCATCAGGCTCAGCTAGAAGGCAAGTCTCACAGATTTTTGCATTAGTTGTTTTGTTTCCATGATGTCTCCTCAATAAACAGTGCCTAGGAATGACAGAGCAGGAAACCCACAGCCACTGGAGCCAAATACCAAACAGCGACAAGCACAAAAGTATTACACAGGCATTTAACATCCCTGCTGGATGTGTTCCATGTAGAGAAAAATAAAGGTTAAAATACAAGTTTTCAATTTTCCTCTGGTGTTAATTCTTGTTATATCAGAATTTGTTGATCAATATCTGGGGATTAACGAGTCCTCTATCACTCGCCTCCAGATGGTCCAAAATGCTGCAGCGCGTCTTTTAACAGGTATAAGTAAATATGAGCACATTTCTCCAGTTTTGGCTTCCTTGCACTGGTTACCTGTTTATTTTAGGATTCACTATAAAATTTTCTTATTTGTTTTTAAATCCCTTCATGGCTTTGCACCTTCTTATTTATCTGACTTGCTTCACTGGCATGCACCTACGTGTTCTTTGAGGTCAGCTAATCAGTTACTTTTGAGTGTGCCCAGAACAAAGCGCAAGCTTAAAGGTGATCGTGCCTTTGCAGCTGCTGCTCCCAAGCTATGGAATGATTTACCACTGCCCATTAGACAAGCCTCTTCTTTGCCCTTTTTTAAGTCCCTTTTGAAAACTCATTTATTCTCACTGGCATTTTGATATTTTATATTGGTTGATTTCATCTGTATTGATTGATATCTTATATTGGTGTTGATTTTATTTGTACTTGTAAGTTGTGTTTATTTTTAATGTATATTGTTATTTATACTGTACAGCACTTTGGCCCACCTTGGTTGTTTTTAGTGCTTTATAAATAAAGTTGGAATGGAATGGAATAACTGAGCTACACACTTTTCCTTTTACCACAGCAAATTATTGTCATGAGGAGAAAGCCTCCACTAAAACCCACTGAACGATATGGAAAGTGTGTTTAAGTACCCATCTTACTACACTTACAAGACTTTGGGGTTAAAAATAATCCAATTTGGGTTATTTTGGTAACCCAGTGTAGTGTTCTTGTGGTGCCTCAGTTTTTGTTTTCAAATATCAGGACACCTTGTAAAAGGATTGGGGCCTGATCATACCATTTCACAGTAACTGCGTAGATCCTGTGTTTCAGATAAATGGAAACTTTAAGCAACTTTTTATCAACATGTATATTCAAAGGTATCTTAAATCAACAAAACACTGTAGTTCTAGGATCTTTAAAATCAGTTTGCATATGAGAAACATGAACAATTACTTGGGGAACGATTGTTACATACAGTAAGCCAACTTTCTATGAGTATAGGCTTCACCTTCTAAAACTGTCCCTATTGGGTTTATCTCTCGCGCATGCGCAGTCCTGAAGAGATTCTTTCGTGCCCTTTCGCTCCTTTCAGACGGAGGTCTCGCCCGCAGTGTAATTCATAGAAGCTTGGGTTACTGTACGTAACCATCATTCTATTTTGTTCTAAGAGCTGTCGCTGTTGGGATAAAAATGCAGCTGGATGTAGTCAATGCCCTGTTGGCACACCACCGCCCAAGAGCATTAAAACACACCTCAGCTTGTCAACATACCCCATAATAGCAGCCCAAACAACATCCTCTCTCCTGTATCAGGCCTTGTCTGAGAAGCAGGTGCAATCATGCCCATATAAACACCTGACTGCCACAGTAAGAAGGCAGAATGGTCATCTGTTAACAGGGGAGCAGAAGTGCAGGGAAGAGCGCACAGATAACAGTTCAATTGCAAAAGCATACAGGCACTAACCGTGTATAGAGATAATCAGATGCCCATATTATGCAGCTGTTGTCTCACAGTAGTAATAGCAATATTACCAACGGAGAACATGAGTACCATGGAGAGCGTACAGACAGAGTGCGTGTGTGCAGGAAGGGCACACACACAGCAGGTACAACGGCGGCTTGCATTGATAGTACAGTCAAGTGAGTGTACATGTGGAATCAGCGCTCGGTGGCGGTTGTGCACTCGTGTTCCATGAAGAGGGAAGCCACTTGGTCGCAGAGAACACTCAGGACTGAGTGAGCCAGTGGAAAAACTCGGATGTGTCCCGAAGGTAGAATACGGTCAAAAGACACGGCCCATGAGGCTGCTGTGCGGATGTCCTCCACGATCATGCCTTAAAAGAGGGCAGTGGAGGATGCAATAGCCCTGGTAGAGTGGGCCCTGATGCCAGGTGGGGGATCACACCCAGCTAACATGTAAGCCTCAGAATGCCAGTGAGACAGCCATGGTTTGGATAAAGGCTGTCCAAGAGAATGTCTCCTACAATGAACAAAACAGTTGTTGTGTCTGTCTGACAGCTGCCGTGTGCGCCACGTAATGGGACAGCGCACCAGATAGAGAGCATGAAGTTCTTTCTCTGACTCATCTCTGTGGAGCGGAGGAAAGAACCCATCCAGGTAATGACTCTGGATCGAACAAAGGAAGTTATTATTTTTGATGCATAGGCAGGATTTGGTCTCAGAACGGCTGAGTGCCGTCTTTGTGTATGAGAAGGCACACTGGTGAGACAGACAGTGCGCACAGATTGCCCACTCGCTTAGCCGAAGTTAGGGCTAAGAGAAGTGCTGTTTCCAGAGAGAGATGTTTGAGAGAGATTTCTGTTATGGGCTCAAAGGGGGGTTCCCTGAGCACGCTTAACTCCAGAGGTAATCCCACTGAGGTGCCACTGAACGCGTCACAGGCTAGTCTGCCTATGCCCCTGAGAAAGCATTTCACCAGCGGGTGTGCAAAAAAGCACAGTTCGCTCACCAAAAACTTCATGGCATGAAGAGATGGCAGCGGCAAACGCTTACACAGTAGACAGGGCCAGGTTTCTTTCTACCAGGATCTGTAGAAAATTCAGCACTTAAGACAGTGGGCAGGAAATGGGAGCTGTGCCCCTCTTCATGCGCCAATGTTGAAAAACTGACCATTTTCAGCTCAAGGTGCCATAATAGACGAAGCTCTTGCGCATTGAATGACCATATGACCGCCGGAGGCAACCTTAGACTGTCCAGTCACTCCCGTTCGGGGGCCAGGCCCACAGCCGTTGACCTGGCACGGGGAACTGCTGGATCACGCCGAGCAGATGAGAGTGCTTGCGTGCTCCGAAGCTATCAGGAGGATGCGCAGCCATTCCTCTTGAACGTTCAGTGAAAAACAGAGGTGGCACTGTGCGTTCCTATGTGCTGCGAACAGGCCTGCCAC